GCAGCCGCTTCTTCTCCTCCAAGACACTATTACCTACAGTGCTCTTCTTCACATTTGCTGTATCATCAATACTAAACCTCCGTTTCCTGTTTTCCAGCTTTTCACTTAGTTGAGCCTAAAAGCACAAATACTCGGGTAAGAACAGGTGTGCGCGCGTAGAAATTCATTCGGAAAGAACATGTGGCTCCTTTCTGTTACATTTTCAGATATCCAGAATAGCCATAGTTTCTTAGTTAAGATATTTTCAGTTGCGAAGGCACACTGAATGGTAGGATGGTTGTGCACATCATATTGAGAAGGATGTGGAAGTGGTCATGGCCTATTACAAGTTTCTGTTCTATAATCTTTTTTTTGAGGGCCTGAGAGAAACCACAAAAATCTATCACAATATCAAGTCTCTGGGACAACTAAAATCCACAACTTCCTGAACACAAAGCAACAGTGTTTAATCAATCAACCTTGATATGTGGTACAATATTTAGATTCTACTACAAATAGAAAATTATGTAAGAAAATATGTTGTCTTTCAGAACTCCAATCTTCAATCACGCCACTAAACTGGGGTTATCACTTTGTATGAATACTTTACTCCCACATCCAAGCACATACATACTGGAGGAACAGACACAGGTGACCCAAATTAAACAGTACACAACATACACAAATTTAACACACGTCTGCTTGATTTAGAAGCAATTTGAGGACACTGTATCAATTGTAGATGAAAAGAAAAAATCCTAGAACCATCCATAATGGGGAGAAACAGGTTGTTATTATTTTTAAGGAATCAATCTGACATTTGCCTAGAGGGAGAAGCTAAATATTTTAACTAGGCACCCACTGAATGCATTAACATTCTGCTACCTCATTTAGTGGGGATGAGTTAGATTACCAGCAAGTGTGCATATTCAGGGCCAATAGCTCTGCCAAAATGAGGCACAAATAAATACAAACATCCGATTCCATGTCACAGAGAATTTACCTTGCTCACGTTGCTGCTGCTTATAGGAGACAATGTCAGGCCAAACCTCTCAGCTCTCTTACGCAGAATGTCTGAACTTGCTGGCTATCAATAAAAAGTAAAGTCATGCAATCTGATAAACATGATACACTATCAAAAACAGGAAAGGGCCAATGCTACAATTTTAAGCTGCTATCAATGCTACAGCTGAGTGGATTTTCAAAGACACAAACTTGTAAAGAAGGATAAACCAATAGATTGAGTAACACTGATCTAATAATGGTCAATTACCACTTTTTATAAATATAGTCACATGGGTGTCACATCTTAGACCTCCTGAACCCACAAGATAAATTTCATACAGACATTTTTATTTGTATATGTTTATATACTCCCACACATGTTATTTAAGAAATACTCACTGCGGTGTTAATTGTGTTGATAGGTGCTGATATTCCAAATCGAGCAGCCCTGACTTCCTTCTTGGCATCCCCAGACAGTTCCACGCCAAACTTTTGTGCTCTCATCTCTAGACGCTGTGAAACAAACAATTTGTAATTTGTGCCAACTTTGCCTTTCAGGGATAAGCTGTACTGATTCTGCGACAGTCTGGCAAATATCATTAGAACATTTTTCATCACCTCTTTTCTTAACTACATGGTCACTATAACTTTCTCTGAACATGATTGCTCCCCAGCCAACAGCGTTCTGTTCTACTGCTCTCCCAATCATATCAACTTGTCCCGACATTCCCACCACCAGATCTTTATAAAAAGGCATCCTACTCCCTCCTACAGACATTCACACTAAAGGTGGCAATTGCAGTGTTTGCTAAAAATGTTGGCAGCGCTTAAACAATTGATGCAGCTTAATCCTAAAAGTCAAAGTTATACATAAGTCTCAGCTGTGAAAAGTGAAGAATAAGAATCTGTAATTGTAAATAAGCCACTGGGTTATATTACATCTAAGGATTATCCATATATGGTATTTTAAGAAATGAATGCCTTTAATTATAACCAAAACCTCTAACCTCTTTCATGGAGAAGGCAGAGAGCTTGACGACCTTCTTGCTATCAGAATTTTGCCGATTCTGTTGCTGTCCTGTATCTGAGACACACTGTGTTGTCTGCTGCTGCTGGTTCTCCTTCTCAGAATTTGCAGCTGATGCAACAATACTGCGGTTTAACACAATCTTCTTGGCACTGGCTACTGTGCGTTTGTTGGGCACGGGAATTTCATCCTCAGATGGTGATGCCAGTTTTCTCAGCTTTGGTTCTGGAGAAGTGCTGATTTCACCCACCAGAGCTTCCTCCTCTGTTTCATCCTGCCAACAAATTAATGATCATGACTTTCTAAGTTATTTCTTTCTGGGGAAAGTATGTATTGAAGAGACACAATTTTGACACTGACAATTACAACATGGAGAGAGAATTACATTAAGAAAATTGTGGAGTACTAGCATCAACAGCAGTAACGGGGGGTATACAGGAACATTGATCAACTGCCAATACTACCCATGCCACCTGCTTAAAGTCTCTATAAAAATAAAGCTGACCCGCTACACACCATGGAGGAATTTGAGGGGTCAGTGGTCAGCATCATGTACTGGCTACACTTTATCCCCAAAGTAAAGGACCCCTGGTACCCATTGGATAGGAGATTGGCTAGGCCCCAGAGACAGTCTGAATTCAGAAGCTAGAAGAAAAATACCTTGCCCTTACCAGGGATTGAACCAATGTCAAAACCAATCTGTAGTCAGCCACTATACTGACTGAGACACCCTGGCTCACTTAAAGTTTCCAAACAAAATTCATTCTGGGATCTGGGAACCCTTTTGCAACTTAAATGTACAAAGAGATACAGCAGATATAAAGAAATAACAGGCAGATATTTGCATTGTGAATAGTAATTGCACTGTCTGAAGCAGAAGTGGAAACTACTTTCCTTCTATGTGAGAATCTCAAACCATGGACCAGTTATGATCTTACCACTGCAGTAGCAACTAAAACTTCATACTACATGAAGATTATGCCCTGTTTATAGCACAATCAAAACATTTTCTTGCATATATAAAAATATTTTGCCAAAGAAAGAAGGTCCTAAGGCCTTTTGTTTAAAAATCAAACATATTATTGTGGGCCTAGCATACCAAGTCCACTCATATGAAGACAGTCACAAATGAAATTTCAAATTCCTATTTCTACTATTTTGCAGGTACAATAAGAAACCATCAGGATCAACATGACTACACAGACCTATTGTTCATATGAAGGTTATCAGTAACTTACTGCAAGGACATCATCTTCATCCAGAATCTCCTCGGAATCACCTGCTGCTGAATCAGGTTCTGTGATCAAAGAGTTCTCTGCAATAAAAAATGTCAAATAACCACGAAAGTGACAACTGAGGCTAGTGCTCCTTCTATACTGAATGCATAAACTCATGTCTCTCCTGACTCACTGATGAATTTTGAATGCTGAAATTAATATGTGCCACAGAATTTGTTTCCATTACTGTAACCTGTTTAAATGATGGATAACATACTTCAGTCATCTGATCTAAAACTGCAGTATGTACAGTGATTTTTACTAATACACAGTTCAATCATCTATGGATACTTACTCAGCATAATGTGCTACAATACAGGGAATGATAAATTATTTTTGGGCTTGGAGCAAAACAATTTTTCAACATCAGTTTTTTGTAGTTTTATTGCTAACAACAAGAATTAAACAGACTATCAGTGAATAAAATAAATTGCCCTATTAATATACCTATAACCTATAGCAAGAAATGAATGCACATGTGTATGATACAAACATTCTGATACAGAAAAACAAACTACAAAATGTTTCAGCCAAGTCATTAACAATTCTACTTCATATCTGGAATGTCCCAGGTTCAAATTTCATCACATACATATCATGAACATGTGCACTGTTCTTTCAATTGTTCTGAAGTAGAAATAGTTGGTTAAGGAAAAAAGGTGCCAGTGTATATTTATGTAATTCTGTGCCACTGTACCCACTGAAATTAACAAAATGCGCTAAAAAGAAAAAAGCACTAGTATAAAATGACCAAACCTTTACCCAAAGTATGGTCACTAAACTGGACATTTATTCTTCTAGGAAACACTGCTAGAAAATAGCCACCAATATAACATGAAATTTATTAAACTAACTCTATCAATTCCTATTCCTATAGCTTATCAACCTGAACAGATGGGGGAAGAAGGCAGCGTAAAATGACAAAACGAGTGGAAGATTGGGTGGACACTGAGATTAATGAATGCAGAGAACGGCTGAAAAAGTATGAGATGCATCATTTCTACACTGCATACAGTTGAATAAAACTGTTTTAAATCACATTACCACGTTTTGCTATAAATGAAAACGGTAGAAACATTGTGCAATTAATTTAAACCAATCTTTGCCGCAGTTTAGTTTTTTATTTCTGTCAAAGTTCCTTTACCAACCTAGAATAACTTACCTCCTTGTAAAGATAACTGTAATCTTTCTACCAATTCGGTTTTATTTCCTACAGCATTCAGGCCTCTAGCTTTCAATTCCTTCTTTAAATCTGCCACCTGGAAGTATAAACACAGCCACGCGTATACCATCAGACGTTCAAGAACTTGCAGCAGGCATTGAAATAAAACAATATTCTCATTAAAAATACATTCACACAGCACTTCACACCCATACATTATTATCATGTTCATTTAACACTATAGATCACAGGCTAATACAAATACAAACCTTTAATTTTGAAATATCTTGTAACACATCCGCCATTTTAAACACGTTTTCTCCTATCATACACGCCTTCACAGGTCCCTTGCTAATAACCATCAGAGTGGCCAACCACGAACTTGAAAACAACTTCTACGTAGGTAAACTCTGCGTCCGTGCAAAAACGTTTAGTATATCCGTTTTATGTCTTACCGGTGGGCTTCTGGGAGTATTATATCTGAAAGTATTTCATTGGCGCCTCTTCAATCGGTGGTCTCCAAATACTATAAACATTTTACAATTATTAGGCCTTAGAAAGCAAGTAGTACCGTAACGCATTCATAACCTTAATGTAACAACGAAACGAATTAATATGGTAAGCTACAATATTAACTAGTTTTTGTTAAGAAGGTAATAAACAATGGTAATTATACCTTACAGTGGGTTAAAAACTTTTGCAAGTCAGATGAAAACACTAGGTGCTTGCAACAACTTATGGTTAAAATCTTTTTTATTATGTGTAATAATACAATGTTGTTTATTTTCCATCACTTGCTAACACACCACCACAGCTTACTGCTAATGTCATACCATCACTGCTACACTGTGTCACTACAAAACATGTGATCAGACATACTTCGGCATTGTTCACTACTCTATATGTATTATGTAAATTGCTGCACCTTTACAATGTAAATATTTTGTGATATGTTCATTAAAAGTAATTATCAGAAAATAATAAGTTGTAATTTATTAATTAAGGCATACTTAAAATGTCAGAATTCTTCCAAAAGTAATGCACTCTAATGGCATTTTAAAGCACATAATCTGAAAATGGATGGGTTTTTTTTTTTAAGTTTTGAATATAGCAAACAGATTATGAAATGTAAGATTTGAGGTTTTCACAGCGGTGAGTATGAAGATTTCTGTCTTCTGGGTTGTTGCCCTGATGACGGAGGCAGTATGACCTCTGAAACGTTGGTTAACATCGACCAGTCTACACAGCGCAACAACCCAGAAGACAGAAATCTTCAGATTATGAAATACTGGTCACATTTTAAAAGGACAGGGCAGGTTTAGTAACTTTTATAGGACTGTCTAGAATTTCTCTCCATCCAGTCTTTATTGATTTCTCTTTCCTTCAAAGTCAAATATTAGTACATTTTCTAAGAACATTTACTATGTTCCAGCCCACTTACCCCATCCTCTTTTAACAATTCATCACAGTTGTAGGTAAGTGTGAACCATTTGCATAATCCTGTTTATTATACTTCAGTTACATACCTGATCTACAGATTAAAACTTTCAGTGCTTTTGCTTTCTTGAACATAGATTATGATTGTGCCCCACAGAGCAGGTACCTTCTAACCTGAAGACCAACATGGCCAGTCTCTAAAACTTAGTATATTTTAGAATTTTTATACTGGTGTAATTTAATATGATAATGGATATACACAATACAATACAAATACACCATATCAATAAACTTTAGAATGACATGAAATGCCTGTAAATTAAATGTATCATTTTAATATGTGCATCACTCAGTATTATATATCAACTGTGCACGCTTGTGTAAACTTGATACGTAATAACATTGTTTTCATAAATGGTGGGGAATTTATTTCTTACCTGAGCAATTGTTAGCTTCTCAGGAAGGAATTTTCTCCATGGAGTTAGATGATATAAACTATGTATATTACTTCATGTCAAATGAGATGTGAGGATTATGAAAGTAATATTAATAGTGGTAGAGAAGGAAGCACCCATGGTCTACTTGAAGGCTGGAATTTGACTGGATGTACAAAAGTTTGTTAAGATAGGTTAATATTTGGATTGGGTACTTCCCAAGTACAAGTCAGACAAATTACTGCTAAAATTTAAATTTCTTGAAAGTAAATGGATTTAGGTTTCTTAAAGGGACATTAAAAAATAAAAAGTATTTATTTATTAGGAGCTGATGAAATATATATAATCACATGCACTTAACAAAGGGTACACTTGTCACCTGACAGCATGTCAATGAAGGAATACATGTGCAATGGGATATTAAAATGAAAACAAGAATGTTATCAAATAAAGTCAGATAGTGTTGTCACAATAACATGATTACAAATCAGACCTACTACTGCGTCTGATTTTAAATAATTTTCTGTGCTTGAAAACAGTGTAGTGGCGTTCTGGCTCTGTGGAAACTGACTGACGTGATGAACGTACACGTTCTGCCAACTCTTGCTGCTCCTGCTTAGTCAGTGGTGTCATCAAGTGACTGCGACTGTAGAAATAATAATAAAAAGAAACAGTCAATCATGTGAGCACTAATAAAATTCACATTACTGTGAACAATTGAAATATTTTGTGCATGAAAGTGAGTGTTAGGTGTGTTCCAAAGATGCTGGCATTCAATCAGAATGACTGCTGAGCTGAGATTTTCTTTAAGTGTTTGAAACATCACAGAAGGAAATTAAATGCATTTTATGACCTGACTGATGTGTGTTAAGATATAGGTCCATCATTACACACCCGAAAGCAAAGGAACAAGCATGGAACGGTATACAAACTCTCCACTGCCAACAAAATTCAACACTCTGAAGTTCACTGGTAAGGTCATGGCTTGTTTTATGGATACCTGTCACACTAATTTGTGCATAGTTCTTGGAGGACAGTGTTACAATAAATTCCCAGTATTATTACAGTCTCCTGACAATGAAAGTGAAGGCAGCATTCAAGGG